ATATACTTATCTATCACAAATCAAAACAAAATAAAATTTTGTATTCTTCTAAACAACTATAAAGCAATATCTATAGCTATATTTGTTAAGTGAATATATCACATCATAAAGAATATACAGACGGACTTGTTAATCTATAAACATAATAACCATTATAATTGATTACAAAAATCGAATTAAATCCTTGACATGTTTTCCTATTCCAATAATAACATATGTTGTCAGTGGTATTTCCACTAACTTCTTGGTAACTATATTTATATCATCTAGAAGCATGAGTATCATATCTATACGTAGATGAAGTATAGTTAATTGACATCGTTGCAGCACTACCTGATGAATGAACATATAATGGTGTCGTCTTAAATGTATCATAATTACAAACAATATTTGAAACTTCATGAGTTAATTTTCGAGTAGAATATCTACGAAATAGAAATATTAAATATGTTGTTTTACTCGCTTCTACTTATAGTAGTAGTTCTCCTAACTATTGTTGCTAAGATAAATCAAATGCACCTTATTAATATTTAGAGATGAGCAAAATTCATTTGATTACTTGTTTGAGAAGTAATCGTAGTTGTCGATTTAGTGTTGATTGTGATAGTTGATATATTACTTGTTGACATTGATATTGAAGTATAAGTTGCAATTGTACTCGTACTGGACATTGTTATTATTGTTGTTGTAACTGTAACAAATAATCATTTTTTCCTCAAAAAATCTGTTTTCATATTTCATTAAATTTTGTAACGATTTTTATAGATAGATGTGAACGTTTTCAAAAGTATACTTGATGTTATATTATGCAAATTGATCTTTGTCACTTTATATATACAAAATAATTTCATCGTTGAAAAGTAAAATTAACTTATACAAAATTAAAAATTTTCACATACTATTTTTATTTTTGATCGAACATATCGCAGGTTGTATGTAACTTGGTAAGATTGACATGAAAAAGCTTTAAGATAATATCTACGAACGCAGTATCGTTTTAAAAATGTGTCTCTCTTTATTAGAGGTTTCATTTGATATATAGATAGGTGATGATGACAGTAAGAAATGTCTGGTCTTCTGGCAATTGTGGTTGAAAGCATTCGAAAGTTATATCTTAAAAATTTTTTCAAATAAAACAAGAAAAAATGATTGTAGACAATATACTGACAAGACGTTAGACTATGACATCCGTTGAAGAATGATCTTATCGATAGAAAATTTGTCAAAACCCTCATAGCTTTTTTTGATATAACAATGGAGGCATTGAATCTTCAACAATTTTTTTCACAACTGTAATGACGATGGTGACTCAACTGTTTAGCTTACACCTCTACTCTCTCTTGCTTATAAAAGTATTCAGGATGGCATACCATTTCCTATTTTTCCATTAGGAGAGGGCTATCGAGATTTATTTCTTAGGACTTATTATGTTGATTTTAGATCAACAGATTTATCTATGGATAACATATAACACATTTTAACTGTACCAAAAGAGAGCCATAGTTTAGAAGAGTTACTCCTCAGCCTCATCTGGTTTGTCGTGCTCAGTGTCATTTCTGCCCTCATTCTATCCTTTCCGTCTGATGATAACACACATATCAGAATTTTATAGAAAAAATCTTGATAAATCTCAAAATATTCCGAAAAAATAGATTCTAGAAGCTGCTATAATATTCTCGTTTCCGAACAGAAAATCGGAAAATGATAATAATATCGAGAATAATCAATTAGATTTTTCTCAACATAAAAGTAAATAAATAATCATCAGTATAGTATGACTATTAAAGTTCGATAAATTTTTTTTTTCGTCTGTTTTGGTACTTCAAAAATTCTTCATCAGTAATACTTTAAATTCAAAGAATTGATTTTAAAATGAATTTTCTAAGTATTAACATTTGATTATGATCGGATACAAATCGAAGAAATGATTTTCTATGTAAATAATCAGTAAAAGAAAAATAAATTTCATAACGAAAAAAAAAAGAAAATAATCTGTTCAATTGTAAACATCGCAAAACTTTTCTGTATTGAACATTCTTCAGACTTTTCGAAAGTATTCACTATAGAAAAGATGAAGCTTTCTCATCATTTTCAACATTTCACTCTAAATTAGCGTATTTCTCACTATAAATATTTTTTTCCTTCTCCATCCATCTCAACTAACATTCATTTGTATTTCACTCGTTAAAAAACAGGAATGGAAAAAATAGCTGACCATCAAATGAAATCATTCTCTCCAAGCTTTTAAATAGTGTTCACTATGAGTGGTTTTATTCTATTTGAATAGAATTATATGGAAATATATATAAAAGTCGTTCGATTAAAATAGAGAAATGATAAAGAGGAGGAGTTTATAAGTAATATTTAATTATTAAACAAAATAAATACTATCTAAAGAAAAGAATCAATATTTGAAAGAACTCAAGATATTGATCATTATCGTTTGAGTCGATCATGTAACAACATTACTAAAACTCGATGCTTTTTCTCTCTGTCATATTAATATACCATTCAACAGTCCGAATCTATTGTTTTATAAAAAAAAAAAAAAAAAACATTTCGTCCTTTTGAAACTTCAAACTCTCCTAAATTGTAGAATATTACTTTTATAACATATTCAAGACAAAATGAATTACTTCAATAATAATTATTTCAATAGGAATGAAAGAATATATTTCTTGTAGATATGAAATTAAGTTCGTCTTAGAATAAATATTCGCATTTCATTTTCAGCATTTTATATAATAGTAAAAGATATTATTACGAAGATGTCTAGTACATATGAATAAAAATCTCTGAACTAATATAATATTTAATTTGAAATTATGAAAAAAAAAAGAAAGGCGAAGATATCGATACACAACACAGCAAACGAAAAATAAATATACAATTAATATCACAGATGATGGTATGTTGTTGCTTTCTGATGATAGTTTATTGTTAACATATCCGAGGTTTTTCTTCAATAATATTTTCTTGATGATCATTAATAAGTTCTGATTGAATTTGATATTCATATTCATTATTTGGATAAGTATTATTATTTATATTAGATGATGAAGATAATCGACCATTCATAGCACATAATGATGAAGATCGATGACAAGATGAATATGGCCAACTCTATTTGAACAAAAACAAAAAAAAAAAAAAAGTTAAAATAAAATAATATTCTAATCACGAACAAAATTATTTGGTGTTTGAAGTGAAAGTGATGTAGTAGTTGGTGGTGCTGTTATGGTTGGCACTGGAAGTTCATCATTATCTAATATTTGTGTTAAATGGACAATATAACTTGTTGCTAAACGAAGTGTATCAAGTTTTGATAATTTTGTATCATGTGGAACCTATTATTAATCATAAGAGAATGAAATCAAATAAAAAAAAAACTAAAAAAATACAAACCCATGGTAAATGAGTTTTTAGTTTAATAAAAGCTTTACTTAATACACGCATTCGAGCACGTTCACGAGCATTAGCAGCATTTCTTTGTTGCATTCCACCATTTGCTGTATTATTTGATTTAATAGGAGAATTACTTGCTGTTGTTGCAACTGAATCGTTGCTTGATAATCGTTTACGACCCATTCAATAACGATGAATAAGAAAAACTAAAAGAAAATTATCATTTTTTTTTTCTGATTGGTTTCTTTTCTCTTTGGAATGTTTATATACACATATATATGAATATATATATAACCAGAAGCAAAGGCATCTATTATTCTTATACCGACTTTATCATTGTCTTGTCATCTTTCATTCTCGTAATCACTTTCTTTATGTTTTCTGACAGATAATGGATTAGTATGTTTTGTTGCTTTGAGCAATATATGCTTACATTTCTCTAAAAAGACACATACACATTCACACATGTTGTGTGATGATTTGATCAGAAGTCGATATGAATAAGACTTTCTTCTTTTTTTCTGATTAAAGAAAACAATAATAAACATAATGGAACTATCTAATCGAACATATGTTGTTCAATATGAATCTCAGTCAATGTATTTATTTCAAAGTCTATTATTAGAAAGAATCTTTTCTCTCATAGTATAGACTAATTACTTTTAATTAGTTACTTATTTTATTACGATCAATTAACAAAGGAATTTCTTCAGATATCTATTTTCCGATTTCAAGGACTTTTTTTTTGCCTACAGGTACAACATAGAGTTGTAGTAAAAATCTTAAAAGAATTTCGATATCTATTGAGATTAGACTTAATTATTGAATTTTTATCCGAATTTTTTTTCATATAGAGAACTTAACTAGACTGACTTCCATAAAAAATTGACAAGTTTTGAACGAAGTCTATTCGAGATCTGAAGCGTTGTATACACTATTCATAGAAAAGAGTATATATCTCAAAGAGACTTTGCTCAAAACTTGGATATTTTTATAGAAACTAGTCTAGTCGGATTCTCTATATTCGCAAAGTTTCAGATCAAAATACGAATTTTTCGAGAACCTACAAAATAAATATGTTAAAAATTTGACAGCTTAATCAAATCTTAATCAGAACCTCCGCATCTTTAAGATTTTTTTTTATTAAAACATCGTGTAGTATCTATAGACAAAAAAAATCCTTGAAATCAGAACGGGACGTCTAAAGAGATTTCCTCGTACGAACAATTCAATATTTTAAAGTTTTTCGGCAAAACAATTTGATGTTTTTATGTTTAACTAAACTACGTATTAGTAGATATGTACTATTAACTGAAAATAATCATTACTTTGTCAGTCACGATAAAATGAAACATCAAGTCTATTCAGTATCGCTGACACGGATAATGATATTGTTATAAAATTCATTCCATAACAGCGAATTATTTCGTTTAGAGATTTTCCATTGAATCTTAAAAATAGAATTATTTTTTTTTTTTTTTTTTTTTTTTTTTTTTTGTTGCAAAAAATAAAGATATTTTCGTCGAAATTGAATTCGATTCTTTCGTTATGAGTATAGAATATTTAAAACTTACCAGATGTTTTATGTCTTATTTGTTGTATGTCGTTATGGTATTGCTCTCGTGTTATCACGAAGGCTATATGTGGATGATAATAGTACCAAAAAAAAAAAAAAGAGAAGGAAAAAGAATATATAAACATAAACGTTTTTTTTTTCTTTTTTGATTGGTTCTATTCTCTTTTTTCTTATTGGATTATTCTGTTTGTTAGAATAAATCAAAGAAATAATTGCTCATCTTTTTCTATTTCTTTCCTTCTCTATAATACTGAAGACGACAGCCTTGGTATATTGTTGTTTTTTAATGCCCTCTCAGTCGACCTTAACTATTCGATTAGTCGAAGGAGGAGCAATATACATATTGTTTCTATAACGTATCTTTATCACATTCTACGTATCAACAAATTGACATTTTCCAGTAGGTCGATATATGTTTAAAAATGCATTTGTGCTGCTCGTTCAACTAATTGGAATATAAACAAAATCATCTTTTTCTATATACCATGTGATTTATGCTTTACTCATTCAATATCATAATTGAGTTTTTAGTGTGATGGCACGTGTGTGTCACATATACATAAACTATAGTGATGTGTTAATGTTCTCGCCTTTTTTTTTTTCCATATATCTCATCATCAACCGATCGATCATTTTCATTGTTCTACTATTTCGGTTGTATTCCATCTCTTTCTTACGGTTAGAACAATTAGATATTGTTTGGTTTAATTTAATTTCAGAAAAAAAAAAACTATTTGTTTTTTTGTATTGTTCCATTTTAATCGATGAAAAAAAAACAAAAAAGAAGATAGCTTGAGAATGATAATTATTTATAAAAAAAAATAACTTAATAATAAAATTTAGTTTGATTGAATAGTGTAATTTATTGTTTTTGTTTTAAATCTTGTTAAAAATAAGTCATGATTCATATAATTAGAATAAAAAGATTTCAAATACAAAAATAATATGATAGATGTGATTTCTTTTTTTTTGTCTTATGTTTAAACTATTGATAAAGAAGCTCTATTATTTTTTTTGTCTATGAAATTTCTACCAGCAGAAAAATAAAACCATTCATTTCTCTATAATTTTGATGTGCAATGCTCGATGTGATCGTAGAAAAATTCTACATCGTAAATTGTTTATTTAATAGCTGGTAAACTAGTTGAGATTATTTTATCATTTGTACAAATTCGTTGTTTCATTGCTCGACCAATATCCGAATGAGGTACAAATTGTTCGATTACGTTTTCTATGGCATTCACTAGATAAGAGAAAAAAATTTTCTTTTCAAAATCTATGAGAAAATACAATGGAAAAAAAACCACATACATTCCAATTTTTCTGTTGAATGTGTTTGTAGAAATTGTTGTTGTTTGTCAATTGATTGAACCAAGTCAGCTCGTTTTGTTAATATTGGAACATGTCCAAGTTGTTTAGCACTTTTGCTACGATTAATATTATCAACTTTCTCTTTTGTCTGTGTTAAGATTGGTTGTGGTAGTAATTCTGCTGGTAAATCAGGTAAACAATAAGAATTTATATCCATAATACCTTGAAAAAGTAAAATTAGAAAAAGTGACGAAAATACAATAGTTACAATCTCGACTGAGGAATGTTGGATGTGTGACAGCCCTCTACCAATTGTGGAAAATTTTTATTCCCTCTCTCGAATGTTGGTTGTTTTGGGCCATCACTGATTACAATTCACAATCAGTAGCAGAGATGTGCGGTCCACGGGGTTCACCCCGCGGGCCCCGCGGGGCCACGTGGCGACGGGCGGGCGGGGAAGAAAAATTTAATTAAACGCGGGATTAACGGGGCACGGGTATTTTCCGGCACACGGGCGGGCGGGGCGGGTAATAATTTTTTTAAATGACAGGGGTCTCGGGCGGAGCGGGTATGAAATACACGGGTTCGGGCGGGTAAACATTTTTTTTCGGGTATGATGAAAGATCGTCAAAACTTATCACGGGATGTCCTTAGTATAGGTATGTAGTACAAAGTACATATTGATTGGTTCATTACTTTCATCCTATTATGTACAAGATTGTCTACCATTTGTTTGTTTCTTTCTTTATCGTCTGTCATACGCAACTTCTACCATCAATTTATATTAAGTGAATAACTGGACTAAAACTTATTTTATATGTAGAATTATCGTTTGAATTTTTTTGTGAATTACTACTTAGGTCTGACCAAAAGTTCTGACAACATTATATAAAAATATAAAGATAAGGAGATATCTTTAATTTTATTTTATCAAATTTTGAGGACAGTTGCCATGATTATTTATACCAAGTTTGATCCTTTCCAACGATTAGTTAAAAGTTTTTTGAAGTTTTTTCGAAAAAAAGTTTTAGGTATCATGGATACCGCATGAGCTAATCATATTTCATTTATTGTGAAAAGTTAGCAAAATCTTCTTCGATCATATCAGTTGCATTTTAGTACTGCTAGTGATGAGATATAGATTTATTTTAGATAGGTTAGTCATAAGTTATCCGATGCTGGCTGGCTTATTGAAGATGAATCGTCAAAGACTATTGTTCATGAATAAAGATTTTAGAAAATGCTTTGTTTGGTATATTCTTTAAATCAAATACTCCTGAATGTAGATAAAGGCAAGACTGTAAGCTACAAGTATTATACTGAAAACTCTCCAAAACATTTTATTAATGAAATATGGAAACAAACAGAGACATCAGGTTCATAATGTACAAAATTGCTTGACGGTCATCGTTGACTTCATACTCATCTAATGTTATTAATTGCATGACAGAAGAAGGCATCAATATAATATCATATCTATCATATTCACCAGACCTGATACTATGTAACTTTTCGCTAACTAATTCTATTAAATGTAGTTTAACTGATTAAATAAATGAAACATGATAAGCTCGTGCGATATCTAAAAATTTTTTCGAAAAAAACTTTTAACAAATTGTTGGAAAGGTTCGAACTTGGTATAAATAATCATGGCAACTGTCCTCAATATTTGATAAAATAAAATTAAAGCTGCCTACTTACCTTTATATTTTTATATAATGTTGCCAGAACTTTTGGTCAGACCTAAGTATGATCGAATTACATGATTTATCTCCTGATGAATCACTTGATAGGACAGTTTCGTCGAATACTGATCGTTCATCTACAATTATTTCTTCATCTTTCAGTCATTGCTCATCGAGTAATATTAAATGTAATTCATCAAATATAAAAATGTTTTTAAAAGAACAACCAGAAAAATACGTGCTTGTCGACAATCACAAAGTGAATCATTCAAAACCATCTCATATAGACTTGAGTTTTGCTTTTGTAAAAAATGATTATTCATAAAAGGAATGCATCATTAAAAATAAAGTATTTGGTAAATAAAAAATTTCTTCGGGTTACACGGGACGGGTCGGGGCCCGTCACAAAAATGGCGGGTCGGGCGGGTCTGTCCAAGAAGCTGGGTGTGCGGGGTACGGGCGGACCGGGAATAGGTTTGCCGGGGCACAGGCGGGGCGGGGATTCTCATTAAGAATATCCACGGGGCTCGGGCGGGGCGAATTTGTGAATTCTACGGAGCGGGCCCCGCGGGGCATGAAAAATCAATGCCCCGCACATCTCTGATCAGTAGGCCATCCTATCAGTAAAAGCATATTTTGAATCTTCTATAAGATCATAAGATGGACAAATGTATAATTAGGAATTCTTGCTTTTCTTTTTTTCTTTAGATTGAAGTTTTACCTAAGACTGCTCGATATCGTTTAAGCCAATTATGACATATATTTTCAATACGTTTTCTTAATAGAATTAATTCTTGAATCATTGGTAATTGATGAAAATGAAGTTGTTCATCGAATAATTGTTGAGATTGTATTTGTTGTTGTTCTAAAACGTTTGACATATCATTTGAATTTTTTGTTGTTGTTGTTTGAAATTTTTTATCTCGAGAAAATTTTTTCATTGAAACTGTTGTTCTTGTTGAATCTATTGATATTAATGATGATTTTTTTGGTAAATGAATACCTAATTGAAAAAAAAAATTTTCATTTTGACATGTAAATGAAAAGCGTATATTTGATGAATTATAATATTCAAGTTGCATAAATGAATTTAATTGTAATTGAATAGTATTATCATGCAATGTTGAAGTAATATCATCTTTATCAATTGCAATAGATTCTCTTTGATAATTATTTGTTAAATACCATTGAAGTTGTTTTTCTATAATACCCGTTTTACCATTACATAAATAAGAACATTCATGTTGATTATCAGTAATAAAATGCGCATGAAATTTTGGTTGCATTAAAAGTACATTACCAGTAGATGTCACAAGACCAAGAAATTGATTTCCTATTGAACTTGTATCATCGAAAAAGAGTGTTGTAGAATATGATGATCGAAGACGTAAGACAGCTAAACGACCAGATGGATAACTATATTAACAAGAATTTATAAATGTTTACGAGATGATATTCAATTTTTATTGAGCTATTTTGTGTATGACTTACTATATTTGACTTGAACCATCTGGTAATTCGATATAACATTTATGTTTTGTTTGAGATATATCAATATCAATATTATATTTTTCTGGAATTTCATGTCGTAAAATTGCGAGTGCAAATTTAGATTTTGATCGTCCTATAAGAACAGACGAATTAATACTTTATTTTTTTCTTACTAATAAAATAACTAACGATTGAATTCATTTAATGTTAAAAAATTATTTTTATTTCGAGTAATTTGATTATCTTCATAAAACCAAATGCGACATAGTTTTTGATATTTTATATTTTGATCATTAGTCGTTGCAAGTCTATTTATCAAAAAAAAAGAAAAAGAAAAAGAAATATATATAGTTAATCAAAACGAAAACAGAAAAAAGAAGAAAATTAAAAATCTAACATTTTTTGTTTTGTTTCAGCTAACAGACGTTTACATTTATTTTGAATTAAAGTAATCATATCTTCATCAAAATTGTCTTGAGGTTTTGGTACATCGAATAAAGCAACTAATAGAACAAGAAAATATATAAGTACAAAAAAAAAGAAAAAGAATTTTTATTTACTATTTTGTTCATCTAATGATTTTGTTCTTTCTTTTGTTTCATTTATTTGTGTTGATAATTTAAATTCAACATGTATACCATTTTTAATTGGTTCTATTACATTTTCTGAAGCTCCTTGATGCTGCATTGTTTTTAATGAACGTTGATTATCTTGTGGCATATTACTTGCACTTATAGATGTACGTGATAATGGTCGATTCCAACGTATTTTTGAATTTGTTTTAAATGATTGTCGATGAGAAAGATTAGTTAATGACAAAGAGTTTAAACGTGAACTTGTTTGACGACGAATAATCGATTTATTATCAGTGATGTTTTGTTGTTTTTGATGATTCATTGGTTGTGAATGTTTTTCTTGAACATGTTGACGCCATGCTTCTTTACCAGCTTTTGTATGCCACACCTATTCATATAACACAAAGAAAAAAAAAAAAGTTTTTTCTTACAGAATTAATAAAATAACAATAATTTTACTTTATATTTATATTCCGTATCTTGAATTAGATCAGACCATGTTGAATTTAATTGAACAATTAATAAACTTGGTAAAGATACTTTAGGTAAATTTGTTGTTGAATCGATTAATTCATCTTCATGATTAATATGTTGTTTACTATCAATAATCGAAGATTTACGAGATTTTGATGGATTCGAGGATAATGAACTTCTTTTAGATTTGTTATCGAAAGTCTGTATATTTTTATCTAATTCTTCGATTAATATTTCAGGTATAATCGGTGTTTTTAATTGACGTAACGTTGTTTGTAAAAGAATATCACTAGTTATTTGATTTATTTGTTTTTTAGTTGAAGTAGGTATATTAGATTCTGTTTTATCTGAATTCTCATCGGTTATAGATAATGCTATTTTAGCATGATATAAAGCTTGATTTAAATCTTTTGTATCTCGTTTAGATCGATGAACACCACCAATATGTGATCCATGTGAAAATTGATCGAAAAAATAAAAGTCTGAAGTCATTTTATATCTAAAAATTAGAGAATGAATTTAAGTTTAAAAAGATAAATGATATGATGAATAATTCTTATTGTACATTATTTCTTAAATAATAATCTAAAGTACAGAATTTAGAAGAACTTTTTGTCCATTAGGTATGCCTAAAGCACCAAAATGAGATGTATCTGTATTTGTATTTGTTATTGTTTGAAGTTGTGTTGGTGATGAACCTAATATATGATGACCAAGTAATGTATAATTAGTAAGAAGATCTCCACTTTCCATTGCTTGTGCTTCAATTTTAGTAATAACAATATTATGTTGATTAACTTCATTAGTCATTATTTCACTCATTTGTAATAAATGATCTAAATGTGTATTTAATTGAGTAAAATTAATTGCCATATCAATTTCATTTATTAGACGTTCAGGTTGATCAATATATCCATAAGCTAATGAATGATGTTGTAAAAGATAATCACGAATTTTTTTAAATTTTTGATCATTTGCTTCTGTTTCTTTACGTTTAATATCCTTTAATTGATTAATTATATTAATAAAATCAATATGTTCTCGTCGTTCTCGTGCTAAAGCACGTGTTCTAGCAATAATTTCTTCACGTTCTGTTGCTGAACTCTATTTTGTTTTAAAAACTAGATAAGTTTTTTTATTTTATTTATAATTGATTTTTAAATAATTCATTTACCCAACGAATTTGATTAAATGGATCAAAATTTTGTTCAACTGTTTTTATATCATTAGAAAAATTATTCATTTTTATTAATTTATGTTGATATGATTTTCTTTGATTAGTTTTTTTCTTTGTCTTTTTCTTTTTCTTTTTATGTAAACATCCAAAACATGCAAAACCAAAAAATGTTTCATTTGCACAAGCACCACAACATTTTCCACCATGAACTTCATTTAAATCTTCTGCAATATCTTTAATTTCTTTTTGTAATTTATTTATTAAACCATAAGATCGTTGCATTGAATCTCCTTGCATTATTAATTTTCCTAATGTTTCTTTTGCCATTAATTCACTAAAATGTAATTGATTAACAATATTTTCTGTTGCTTGAATATCTTCATCTAATAAACGTTCTTTACGATTTCGAATGAGACTATTACGAAAACGATTGATTATATCTGTTGTTTGTTCAACAATTGTGCTTCCACCACCGCCACCATCAAATGTTCCTGTCGATGTACGAAGACTGCCTGTCATTTTATTAGAATGAACAACCAAATAGTTCGATGAGAAAAAAAAAGAAAACAAATATTAAGTAAAAAAAATATTGGAGACGCGCCTCGAGAGAAATTAAAATGAGAAGTAGAAAGAAAAATCTTTATCATTGTAACTGTGTTACTGTAACAATAAAACAAATATCGGTTCTCTCGGAAATGCAATTTGAAGCAGTTATTGAGTGTTGAATGCATGCTCTCCTAGGTGACAACATAGAGAAAAATAGACGTTCCATTCTGTTCTTTGACTTGCTAAATAAAAAAAGCATTTTTTCATTCTGAAAAATTCTACTCAATGAAAAATATCATTTCTTACGTAAACAAATTAATAGCCCAAGATGATGTATACAAAATCTGTATACACTCGGAAACGAATGTATACGCTGCGGACTTCACCTTATACAGTCATATTTTGGTGTATTACATAGTTTCGTATTACGATCGTATTTCTTCACATTATACACTGAGAAATACGACTGCATGTAAGTCTGTAAACGATCGTATTTCTTTGTATACAATACAGAGAAATACGATCGTAATATGGAGCCATGTAATACGCCAAAATACGACGATTTACAGTTGTTTATGAGTGTGTTTGTTCGATCTCGGAGTCAGAAATTTTGTTTTCGAAATATTCAAGGAGCAATGTCAAACCTATTCGACACTTCTTTAGTATAGAAATGTTTTATTTAAAAAAAAAACAGAAATCGAATGTATATTTAAAAGTATTAAAAATATTATTTCAAGTTGAATTTTATTTTCATTTCGTCTGTTGACTAGTTCAATAATAAAATGATTCTTTTCTCTTGTTTTTCTTTTGCATGTTGGAAAGTAACATGACAGAGGTTATTTTTACTAAAAGGTATCCTCATCTTAAATGAAGAATTCTCAAGGGCCAAACAAGTATTCGTTTTATTATGATTTTCATATTTAAATATATATGTTAAAATGAAAAAACTACTGACAGAATAAACAAGAAAAAGAATATTGATTCTAATTTATTTAGAACGTTATTTTAATCGTTGAGATTAAAAGTAAAGAAGGAGAAATAGTAGAAAGAGAGAGAGAGAGAGATTTAAAAGAACAATGACTAGAAGATAATGTTATTACCAATAATAATCGGTACAAACATATTTCACATAATCGAATCTTTATTGAATAAATATTAAGACATTATTTAACTTTTATCTGCTAAATAACATTATCATTTCGTAAGATTTATTCAATAAATATAATTGACTTATGGAACACATGAAGAATGAAAACCTAAAGGATTAACTATATCTATCTACCAACGACAAAATGATTGCAAATCGTATTTTTGATAGATACCTTCATGGGTAGTCAACCGCAAAAAATAGAAGGTTCTCAGAAATGTTTTTTTTTGTCTTCGCAAGCATTTTGTCGGTGATAGATATGTGAATTCATTTCCTTTTAACTAAGATTAATTAGCATAAAGCTAAATCAGCTGAGCTTAACTGTTTATATAAACGGGTTAAGTGAAACTTTAGTATAATTGATTAGTTTATGAGTTTTTCCACTTTTTATGATTCATTCATTCTCTCGATGTATATCAATTACTATACTTTCTTATTTATGGCTTATATAGTTGCTTTTAAAAATTAATAATCAATTATGCTTGATTTTTATTTAAAAGAAATAAAAAAAAACTAAATACAGAAGATGTCTTTATGTAAAAATATCTATAAGAAAATACATAAGTTAGGTTATTAAAAATTTCTTGATGAAAAGAAAATTATTCTAAAGTATTAATTTCAGCACAAAATTTATACAGTGGACATTCTGCTTGTTTCCATTTGATGTTACAAGATTTGTTCGATTGATCAATTTTAGATAATAACATCTTATGATAAGTAGTAAATTTCTCTTGTATATCTTTATTAACTGTGTTGATTTGTTTTGATATTCGAAATGAAATATTGATTTTTTCTATTTGTTCAATAACTGACCACCAATTATTAATTAAATTGTCAAGTAAAATTTCATCTTCAATATCAACATAAATATTCAAAGAAAAATATTTTATGATTGACATTATCGGTTGTAATTGTTCGAAAAAAACTATTGTAATTCGATTAGATTTGCATTTAAGTTTAGTTATCGGAATTTTTTTGAAAATTAAAATTTGATTGGTCACCCATGAACTCAAACTCTTAAATGTCCGTGTTAATCCATATAGTTCGAGTCTTTTTAATTTTGGCATATGATCAAAAAATGAATTTGTGATCGAATGAATACCAATGGAGATATTTGTCAAGTAAAGTACTTCGATATTACTTTGTCCAACCAAGGAACATTTAATATTTGCCATTACATGAGAATTAATTAATTCACATATATGAAGACAAGATATTGTAAATATAGTCTCAACTAATAATGTTTCTATAGTTACAGATTTTACAGAAAGATATTCAAGTGAATTAAGTTCTGGAAGAATTTTACAAATAAGAAATGTTTGTCGAGGATGTATTTCAATTCTTAAAGCTCGTAATCGAGTAAATTTTGAAATATTTTTATTGAGAAATTGAGTTAAATAACCATATTGAGGTTTAGCAATCCATTGTAATGATATTATACGATTAAGTATTTCATTAGAAGTACAATGTGTAATCGAAATAAAACTTGAATGATCATTTTTATTAAATTGAACTTTGTATAAAAGATGACGAGAAGCAATTAATTGATTAAAATAATTATTTAAATTAATAAAAGCACTAAAGAGATCATGTGCTTCCAAATAAGACAATATTATAAAACATAGTTCATTCGGTAAATGTTCGATAAGTGTTACCATGGTTTTTTCTTTGGATGAATTTTGCATTATTACACAATAGTGATGTAACACAAAACAAGATGCAAAAAAAACATGGCATCATTCGATATATGTACATATATTGAATTTTTGTTTTTTTGGAATTTAAACAAATAAACTATGGAACAATACTTTTAGAAGAAACAAGAAACCAATCAGCTTTCACCAAAAAATCTCGAGTTTCATTAAGAGAATAAACGTCGCCTTGGACATTGGTTAGAGCTACTCTTATTGTTTGCCATTTATGGTAAAATATGCTATTAAAATGGGGCGTAATATTTCAGCAAGAAATTGAAGATATAAGATATGAGTTTAAAGAGTAAATGCTTTTTTAAGCATAATATCCACAGAGAAATTTCTAGAAGAAGTTAATGCAACAAAAACATTAAATTTTTTAGATTTTATGAATATAATTGGACACTCATATGGCTAGTCAACCGCAAAAGAAAATAAGGTTTGTAGAGCTTCCTTTACTGATCGTTTTGATTGAGAAAAAGCTTTAAATTTGATCAATAAAAACTAATGCAAGGATCACAATACTAATAAACGTCTTAGATCTATTAGTCAAAACAGTTTGAAATTTCCAATATTTTGACCTTAGCATCGTTATTTATTGTTCAAATTTTAGAAATTTTTTATCGAAACGATCACCGAAGACAACTGTACAAAGTCCAATAGTCAAATAGACTTTCCAAGAACCTTATTTTCTTTTTTGTGATTGACTATTCATGAAAGTGCCCGATTGTACCCCTAAAATCTTTTCAAAACTTCTCGCAATTCTATAACTCATTCTCATCATATGAATGACCGGCTATACACCCACACCCACTCTTTTGGATGGGCTTTCAGTTGATATTTAAGTCACTTTTATATTTCTTGAAGTTGAAGCTGCATGCTCTCTCCTCCGAAAAAACACTTTTACCCCACTCTGTACAGGCTCACTGCGATGATCAATTTAGATTATTTTAAAAACAAAATCAAAACCCTTCGACAACATCTGATCGACTCGACTTTTAGGTTCCAAAATGAAGCAATAATTTCTGTCTTTTTATGCCATTTTTATTTGGAAGAGTTGGTTCTTAGTGAATGATATTCATGTAAAAAAAACATCCAACAATTGGATTACAATCGATCGCTTTTGGTAAAAAATGAGTGAAAAGCCGGTTTTTCAATCTTAACAACAGATTTATTTTGTTTTATTGATTTTAACTGACTAATAGAACTTAATCAATGAATATAATGCTTTAAAAAAATCTATTCTAATTCATTCAATTATATCAATCGAGCAAACTAGGTTAAATAGATTAAAAGGAAATGAAATCTATCGTTAAGGCTTAACAACAAGATTTTAATCTAATTAAAATTTTGTACATGAATTATTCTATTCAAGATTTTATGTAGTTCACAATATTGATATGTAACTATTGATGATTTGTTGCTCGCAATCTCTGTAGTCCTGCTAAAAATTAAATAAATCGTGGGAACGAAGATAATTCATTAACAACTAAATTTTACATTGTTTTGCTAAAAAATAACATACGACACGATAAGATGAAAATAAAGACATTTGTTTATCGCTTCGTGCTTCCTCAGCGGGTAAAATCATTCTTGTATATTCCTCGAAACGCAAAGAAGAATATGATAAGAATCGTAGTTGACCGAAAGTAGAAAACTTGTTATCTATAGAGAATTAATATGTTGATCACGAAAAATAGCCTTGTTTGATTTTAGTTTTAACTCTTCAATCGAGTTATCCATTATTTTATCATCACCAACAGTTATGATCAGACTACATAATATCAATGATCTTAACATTATTTGGAAAAGATTTAATTAAGTTAATAACATTTAAATGCAATATAAAATGAATAAATTGAGCGAGAATATTTTAAAGGAAATAGTGCGTTGAATCATGTTCGATAAACAATCATGAAAAGATTGTTACATTTTTTACTGAATGATAATAATGACTTAATACACTTACATCTAACTTACTACATGTGTCGCTAATGAAGAAATCAAAGATATGTTTTTTATTGGAGACCATTATTGCAAGATATAAAAAAAATTACCTTTACATGCAATGAATTAAGAAAATTAGAGTCTCTTCATCAAACCATTCAAGAGGTAGCGTAGTGATAAACGACATCTATTGTATATGTTCACCTCGTGTGTGGAGGTACGCGTTTCTCTGTGGATCATAGACAGAGCAACAGAACACAGCTTGCTTCAGTGATATTTTTATTGAATAAATAGTCCAATAATTTCTTTCAAGGTCCTTGGTTTATAAATAGCATGGAGATTTGCTGAATTTTGTTTAAAAAAATATTCGGTTACTCTTTTTCAAACAAATATAAACTTGCTACGAAATATCAGACTTTATCAATCTAAATACAAAAAAAGAATTCTAGAACAATGCCAACCTATTTAGTCATTGATTTTATTGAGATCAAGATAATAATAGAAATTTTTTCTTTTTATTATCATGAATTATAAAGAAAGCCTATTAATAAAAACAACAAAGCGTATAAATAAAATGAGGAGTGGACAATATTCTCTAAAAGCGAGAAATTGTTCCATTATAAAAGGCGATGATACGGTGATGATTATCTTGTGCAAGAAAAAACGTTACTAAAACAAACCGATATCATTGCGTATTGTCTATCACTTTGCGAGTACGTTGAACAAAAACATTTGCTTGTGTTCACGTCGTTTTCTTTTTAAGGTTGGCAATTCAGAAATAAAATATCATCAAATCAGCCAATTATGATTCAAAAAATTTACTTTATAATAGATGATTCGGCTACACACAAACCGGTGGATTCACCTGTACAAATAACATTTATAACAGCCAGTAAAATGATTGCAAATAGTGACGATATTATTAGTGCACCAGCAACTTGATTAAAAGATATTCAAAGCAATCACCTGATTTATACGATTACTGCTGCTGTTATCCTACTAAATATCTTATTATTGTATTGCACAATTCGTTATTATCTTGAACGAAAAGAAAATAACAAGTAGTCAACAATAGATATTATTAATCTTGTAACAACATTTAGTAGCGAAAATAGAATGTGAAAAGG